GGTCTCCAGAAAAGTTGCTTGTAAACCTGAGTTTTCCCCTAGTTCACTGCTCTTGGGAGTTCCTGATTTCCTTTATTCTTATGCTGAATAACACTGGGCTGCTGGGACTCGTTAATTTGAGCTCTAACAAAGAATAGCCCAATTGAATCAGTCATAAGTTAAATGCATGGCACTTTATTCTTTTTGCGGGATCATCATCTATGGAGAACACCACATCTCAGCTCTGCCTCTTGCCTGGAAAGCAATCCCTGCATTTTGGTACTCAGGCACAGGCACAGACAGAACTGGCTCATCTGTGTTTCTCCTGTGACAGAGCAAGATATTGCTTGCTTCTATCAGTGCAATTACACCAACACAGTGTAGAACACTCATTTTTTTAAGCTAAAGCAAAGAACTTTAAAAGGTGATTCTTAAATCACAGTATGTAGGCTAATTACTAGTATATATTGAAAACACCTTGTTCTATGAATAGAAACTCAATTGCATGGCATGTGACAATTAGGATTCATGGCCCACCGAGTAAAATACAAACTAAATAATCCTTTAGTGCAGGAGCTAGCCAGAGAAAACACAACTGGTTACAGAGAGGATGTCATAAATGCATAAGAAATGAAGTATGCAATCTCAGAATATGGAAAATGAGTATAAGAGAAAACCACAAGTAATTTTTCATATTTCAAGAAACCAGGTATTTCCTTTTGATGAATTATAAGGTACTGAAAAGATTGATATTAGATTCCTTGGATAATTTCTGTGCTTATTAATGTAACACTTGGTTTATACTTGAAAAATATGGGTTTTCTAAGTTCTAGTAATAAAAATGTAAGACTAACTTTAATTTTGTTTTTCATTGGACTAAGGGAAATAAATAACTTTTAATTATTCAAAAAAACGAATAGCTACTATTTTTTTTCACTCATATAATATACATTTTTGCTTCAAAAAACTAATTTTTCCTGTTATATTCAAAGATACATTCCACTTTATACAATGGATACATTCCACTGTTTTTCTGAGAATTAACTACTCTAAATCAAGCAGTTAACATCAGTAGAGACTGGGAATATTTCCTGTGGGGAGTTATGTCCTCATTCTTGGCAGAAATTTTGCACAAAAAAAAAAAGGTTTGAGGGTTTTGTTTTAAAAGAACCTATGTTATAAATTTCCACAGATCCTTTAAGACCCTTGTTTAACAAGTATTTTGATAATGTCAGAATAACTGACTGTACTATTGATTCAGAGAAATCAGCACTGCTGTTATTACAGGGAGGGTTTAAGCAGAGCACAGAAGTACAGCACTGGGTCAGGTTTCAGGCACTGAGAAGGAAGTGCCAAAGCAGGGATGTGCTGAAGGAAACCGGAGGGCAGCTGCACTGGATGATAAGGTGCATTAAGATATGAGGTCATAAGTAAAGAGAAAGGTTCAGTCATGTAAATAGCTGAGGTGACAATTGAAAGTGAGCCTGAGGAGCAGCTCTGGTCACAGCCAATCAGTTCAGATCCTCCGAGGAGCACAAATCTAACACTCACACGGTCGCAGTAGAAATCTGCCTCCCGTGGAGCCAGAAGTTTTGCAATGAGGCAATTTAACAACTTGGTAGTCTTCCCAAATCTGCCATTGGCTTGTACTATAGCTAGTTAACCTAGTGAGACATTTCAATGAGCTAAACAATTAAGTTGGGACCTAAACAGTAATTTCAATGTGGTGAAAGGGAACTGTAATCCTATGACTGTGAAACTTCAATCTTAATAACTCTAATATGGACATAATAGCTCTGTTCTTCTTTATTCAAGTTGCAGAAGCAGAAAATTGAAGGAAAGAAGTGTGTTTTCTTTGGAAAGAACTCATATTGTCATTTATAAATCTGTACTATCAGATTTACTCTCTATCTTTAGTTTGGCAAGGCTCAACAGAGTAGATTAGCCCCAGGAAAATGAAAGGCTTAAACTATAATTAATGCATTAAAATCACCTAAAATTAGTCATTGACACACAAGTATCTTTTGTAATTTTGTTTGTATATCCATAGAAATTAAAGTACACATTTTTTCAGAATATCTGTAAAAAAGCTAGACACAGCTCGGGTTCCATTTCATTCTTAAAAAAAGGCATGTATGGAATTAAATTATGAATAATGCTGTGCTGCTCTCTGTGCAGAGACGGCACCTGCACTTGTAGCTACTCACTTGCAGATAAGGAAAATCACACTGTGTGTGCAATGCCAAGAACATAGAGGCAACTGAATCTAATAAAACAGCAGTTATGGGGGACTTCAACTGTCAGTGTATAAACTGGTAATATGTCATATTGGGACAAGGTTTAGGAAGCAATTCCTTGACATTTTAAACAATTGTTTCTTGGAACTGCTTGTTCTAGAGCCCACAAGGGGAGAGGTTATGGCCCTAAGTACCAGAGAGTTATTTCAAGAACCATAACTGAGCCACTAAATTAGAGTGCCCAAAACACAATTCTATTCAGATCCTTGTGGGAGGGACTGTGCAATAACATGACATTAAACTTCAGAAAGGCAAAAGTATTAAGCATAGGGAAATGGAAATCACTACAGAAAATCCTTCCAAAAGCAGAACCCATAAAATGAAAGACAAGTCAGAAAATTGTAGCCTTGGAATCTGCAACATGGCAATGACTTACCCACTTTGCCTTAAGGATCTCTCAAGACATGTGGCCATAAGCAAAATTGGAAGTGGGAAGGCTTGGTGCTATTAGGATGAAAGCCTCCTCTATTGCTGTGATATCAGAGATGATATTTCTTCTGTTGACATAGCTACATCCATTTTTAATTTGGGTATCTGATTATTCATGGACTTTGGTTCAAAATGTGGAACCACTACTCACTGATTATTAATAATACATCTTGATCTGCATGGGTTTACAGACCATGCATTCCATTCTATTTTTCTCATTAATAAAAAGTGGGACTTTTGGCATCCCTAATGACATTTTAGCTATTTTTTTGAGAAATTGTAAAGTTTTGTTATTTATTTCCATGGGACAGACTTAGAAGACTGCAAGATAGTTTTCAGAATTTAATGCAAAATATTTGTAAGGATTTTACTTTGATTCAGTTGTTGCAATCAAACACTCCAAGACAAATATTAAAGATGTTTCTGTGAAGTCTGAGATTACATCTGGACATCTTTTTTACCACTGACTACATCTAAAAATAAGAAAATAGTGAAACGATGAGGTACAGATGATATGTATTTGGAATTGTGATTTGTTACTTTTTGATGAAAATAAGACTGCTTGTTTTATGATGGCTAATGCATATCATGTGTTTCTGGTTTTCTATCTGCATCACACTTCACTTGCATTCTAAAAACAGAAAGGTTTTTCAACCATTTTATGAGATAACAGAACATGACTAGAATAACAAATACAAGAAATCAGCAGAACTCTCTTTTTCTTTTTAGATTTTTTTCTTAATGATTCCCATGACCCACATTTTCTGTCTTACATTTACGCTGTGTTATTCACTGGTTTCTAATAGCTTACATCCTTCTCTGAGGAGCTTGTAGCCTGGCACCTTCATTTCACTTTCCACTTAAAGATTTGCTATCGAAATGCTGGTATTGATAATCTTATCTTTTTTATTTTCTCTTATTCTTTCTCTATCCTATGACATTTCTAATGAATATACACTTGAATTAATCAAGTGGCTCTGCAGCAAAAAAAAAGGCACTTCTAGAATACTGTTTTTATGGTTTTGTTGCTAAGAATTTTCTTTTGTGATCTCTGTTGTCAACTAAACAAACATTATAACCACAAGGAGCACCACTAAATTCCTACAGTAACTAACAGGTTACAGATTTTATCTACTTGATATGAAAAAGGATTGGTTACTTGCTAGCATCTGAGAGCTCAGAAATATTTCCATCAGAATGATTCTCCTCTTCACAGCTGCTCAAACAGAAAACAAACTTATAAAATGAGATTGTGAATAAACAGCAGAAAAGTCAGCTCATTAATCTGCTAATACTTCTGAAAGTTATTCTCCTGAATTTCATCATAATCTAGCTAAGCTGTACCATACTACTTTGGAATGTCTACAGTATGTGCTATATGAAAAGGAAGAAATATATAACGTATCCAATGGTAGAAAGAGGCAAAGAAAACCATCCATCTGTGTCTCAAGATACAGACTCCTTGACCTCTTGAGCACTTTAATAACTAGTGGTAGGTCATGTTCATCTGTTGGGAATGCTGGAAAACTGCCTCAGCTCCTGTATTAATATTTCCTCCACAGTCTGAGAGGACAGCCAAACTGAACAAGAAAAGATTGCATCAAGTAAGAAGGTTTAATCCTAAATCGGGGTCTTTTTGAGGAATATATTTTCAAACTAATTATTTTTTCCTGGGTCAGAAAAGATAGAAGACCTCCTGCTGTCTGGACATGAAAAAGTACTACAAACATGACTCAGAGCAAACAAAAATATATCCTATATATACACATAAAGTCAAAAGCATGATTTTCACATTCATAAATACTGAATTAATGACACATCAGATTACCTGTACGTCATATGTTTACAGCTATAAAACACCCTGAAATTGGCCTATTATTCATTTTTATTTGCTACATTTTCTTTAAATGACATACAAGGAAATTGGTTGCAATTTTAGTATTGCAAACCCACAGCGTTTGACTGCATACATATTTTTTTCCATATTGCAGTCAGCACATACATCATTTAGAAAATCAAGTGTATCTATTAAGTTAAAGGTTTAAACATTTGTTTCATGGAAGATCATTAAATATAAAAATCAGGCTTGCATGTGCAGGTCTAGAACACATAAAATTAACTAATGTGTGTTAAAAAAGGGTAATGTGAATGCACAGAGTACCTTATATAAATAAAACAATTCTAGGCAAAGAAAATCAGACAAGGATGTGCTCTGAAAATGCAATGAGTCTGCAGGCAATCACAGAACACCTTTGAACAACTCAGCTGAATTTTTAACATGTATACTACATGGACAATATTTTTCAGGATCATGACTTCAGATACACAAGAGCTGAACCCGCTGAAGCTAATTGAGGTCCCTTTCTTCTACCTACCTCTACAGAAGTAATATGGTATGTATTTAAGGGGAAATTAATGAACAAGTCAATAGCAGTTGTCTTGTGTAAAAATGAAGCATATAGTCAGCTTTGTAAAAACTGTACAGCACAAGTGAATCTTACAGTTTCGCCTACAGATAAAGTGACTGTGTATCTTAAAACAACTAAACTTCAAATATTTATGTTTTAAAGGTTTACTAGATGGCTTTAGGAAAACATAGCAGAGGACCAGGAGGTCCTGTAAGTGAAAGACCAGTGTCTGTATCCTGCTACTCCTTCTGCTTCCTTCCTGCCACTAGTGGAGTTCAGCCCCATTTATTATTCCTGTTTTTTTAAAAGACCCACAGTTTTCATAAGAGATCCTAGCAGGTGATGTTGGAGTTGGAACAAGGCTGGCAGGCTGTCTCTTGCTTGCACCCTTTGGAATATACCTTCTTGCTAAATCAGGATTGAAGTTTAGAATTCCCATAGTCTGCTGCAATAAGTGCAGGTGAAACCTGAGTGACCACCCATGTATCTCATTTTCAGCACTCAGACCATCTCACACTAATGATGATACACATAAAGAATGTGCATCTTGTATTGTTAGAAAGCATTAATTTTGTGCTAATTTTTTTAAGTAAAAAAAGTTTTATCTTTGCTGAGGAATCCTGCTTATTGGAAAAAATATATTGCATGCTGGAGTTAGTTTGCTATTAATAACCTGATTTCAGTAGCTCACCATCAGGAACAGTACATATACACTAGTTCTTACCAAGAGCAATCAGTAGTATCACCATTGAGAGATTAGGAACTGGTGGATTAAATTTCTGAACCTTAGAAAAAATTGTGTATAGAATTATAATAGAATTATAATTCTTTTTTGAACATCTGTGGTGTTACTTAATAGTGATTACACTGAAAAATCAGTGTCAGACTGAGCACCCAACTGTACAGTTGTCAGAGCATTGCTGGGAGGGTAAATTAAAGTATTACTCAAACACTGCAGTGAAGACAGCCATATAAATCTTCCTAAAAATACAGCAATATTGTTTTCAGAGTAAGTCTGGACAGTGTGCAGTAATAAAATATGAAAATATCCACCTGAAGACAGACATATAAATCTTCCTTAAAAATACAGCAATATTGTTTTCAGAGCAAGTCTGGACAGTGTGCAGTAATAAAATATGAAAATATCCACTGAACAGTAGACAATATGCAAAAATAATTTGCTTTCCCTAAGCATTTATCTAATAGACTGATGAAAGAGAGGCCTGCAGAAATAAACCAGTGTGTGACAGGGTAATTAAAGTCTGTATCATAGTACAAACATACTGGGGACATAAATAAGGGTTAAACAGCTGGCCTTAATTCTGCTGCATAATCATTTAGGAATGAGATTTTGAACCCAACATGTTTTTAACATATTGAAATGTATATTCTAAAATGCTGCAAATACATTGCAGAGTATATACAGCTGTAATGACTAATAACACATTAAATTTTTAAAGCATAACACAGATCTCTTTCTATGTCAAAGCAGGATCAATTCTATCCATGTCACTTCTGGCAGATATTTGCCTAACAGTTTCTTAAAGGCTTTCAGTGATGGGCATTCCTCCCCAGGCAATCTAATCTAACATTTCCTTCACTATCCTCACTGTTCAAAAATTCTTTCTAATACATAACTTGAATCATCTTTCATGCAATTTAAACTCCTCATTTCTTTTTCTATCCATCACAAACATGGACAACAGCTTGTTCCCTGCCTCTTTGCAGCAGTTTTTATGTATCTGGAGACTGTTATCTTGTCACACTCAGACTTTTCCTCCTTAGGTTCAGCAATCCAGTTTGTTAACTATGTTCTCCAAGGTCATGTTCTATAAACATCTGAAACTTCTTGTTATAATCCTCTGACAAGCTATAATTGGTCTCCATTTTTATGAAGTATGGTACATAAAGCTGACTTTAATACTCTAGCTACAGACCACAAGCTGAAGAGTACTGCTTTAGACAAGAAGAACAAAGGGTTACTTCACATGAAGCATTTAAATAAAGTATGTCCATAAGAAGCTAAATACCATACACTAATTTTTAATCTGGCACATAGGTTTGGGGAGGTTAAGTATCAAATTTAATTTTTTTTTCTGAATCTGTGTTTGCTTAATTGCCATATTACATACTTATAGAGTGAAACACATCACCAGTGATATATTATTCACTTTAGCCACTTCCTTTAGGTTGTTCAAGAATGGCAGCTACAGTGAATAGACTTATAGTTGTGCTAAAAAGCTTTTGGCTATTGAGCCATGTTAGCTGTCATCTCAAGTGAATCCTTTCAATCAACATAATAAAATATGTTAGCAAAATCCTGTATGATTAATTCATTGTAATCTATCAAACCTGAAGGAACTATTAGGGTGGAAAAGTAATGGATTCTTTTTATTATTGTTACCAGAGTCACAGCTGCTTAAAGAAGAGTGAGGAAACAACAGAGCAAGTTGCATGCTGTACTACACCAATGTACAGTGTTGAAGATTCTTCCATCAGGGCTAACTACAGGTTGACTCAGGTAAGAAGGAGTTTGATTTTAGGAAAATAAAGGAAGTATCTATTTGCAAAAATAAACCTATGCACAGAATTTCAAGCAAATAAAGGACATATATGTTCTGAGGCAAAGGAGTTCTATATGTGTTACAGTACATTGGATAGAACCATCACTGTGTACTGAAAAATTGCATGAATCCTTCAATAAATATTTACTTTGTTGTTAAATACAGATTAGAAATTACCAGTTATGTGACTGAAACCAGATTCTCAAGAAAGTAGCTAGTCCCTTTTTGCAGAAAGAGTTTAAGCAAGCTTTTGTGATATCTTTGTTTTTTCAGAATGCCTGGGACAAGTACTGGAGAGCACAGATGCACAGCAGCTCAGCATTACCAAACTAGAAAATATGTACCACATTTCTTTATTTTTTCCCAAATAATATTTCTATGACATCAGAGTAGCTGCGTTTTCACATTGTCCTGCCTATTCTTGCTCAGACTCCGACCTGAAGCATCCCTAGACTGCCTTTCTTTGGCTGCGCTGCTCCCAAGGTCAGAGTGCAGCACACCAAGGATCATTCTCAGGCAGCTGCTTTGGATGTCACCTGTGCTGAGCTGAGGATGCCACAATTCCAGTCATGCTGTTAGCTTTTTAGGCCAGAGGCTTTCCACAATTAATGTCAGCTGGTGGCTGGGTGGCATCCAGCGCAGGGTGTGTCTCACATCCACCATCTGCCCGTGGTGTGCTGACTGTGGCTGCCAAATTCAGGGTCCCTCTGGTCTGTTCCGCTGGTGTGGGCACTGCCCCTGCCAGTGCTGCCGTTCCAAGGCAGGCAGGAGTTATCTGGGACAGAGAGCTGTGTCTTCAGCTCCATGCTCACACATCTCTGTGCCAAACCTTCTACCAGCTTTAGTAGATGTGGCTCTTACTTTACTCTGTCATGAAATGTTTTCACATCCAAACTGTACAGGGGAAGAGGGACCAATAAGTCTCAGATGACAAGCTTGGATGGGAGATAATGTGATTCACTGTCAATAATGGAGACAGCTTCACCTGTTTTCCTGCAGCACTGCTGCATCTGTATTCTACTATTTGTCCTTAGGAATGTTTTACACAGTTCAAGCCTATGAAACTGAGGTACCTTGATAAAGTTATTGATAAATAATTCATCTGCTCATGTATTCTTTGCACATACCTGCAGTCAAGGGCTTTCATTCCTCCAACAACATAATAAAATGAAAGACAACCACTTGATATCATCTGTAATCAGCTTATTTAAAAAAAAATAGACAGGAAGGAAGAAACAGTCCAGAGATACTAACATGTACTGAGCATGACATATGGTTTTACTACTATTTTAGTACTTTTGTGTTTATTTCTCATTGAATTCACAATCTCTAAAATATGGTAAATGGGTGAATTTACATTAAAATTCTGATTTCTATCAGGAGTACAATTTTTCATATAAATGCCTACTTTGTTTCCATTTGCTGAGATTTGAGTCATATCACTGAGTGGTCTTGGAGCTTATGAGCTGGATGCCTTTCAAATGAAAAATAAACCAGAAGCAAAGTTCCAGGAGAAAACCCAATGCACTCTGGCTGCTAATAGGCATACAGTTCACTGGAACTGCCAAGAATTACTATGAAATATCTCCCCTCCCCAAATGTAGACATCTGCACCATCTGTTTTGTTCTATAGGTCTACTATGATGCTTGAGTATGTCTGACATAGATGGAGCCATTATGAATCATTCAGCCCATTAATAGAAATCACAGTTTCCTTAACTTAAACTGCACAGTTTATATTTGTGTGTATGGATTTCAGACAGGCTCACCATGGCAAGACTGCACAGAATTAGGAGGCTCTTCTTTACCATATGACCAAGATGCATGGACTATTAATTGGTTTAATTATAAAATCTAGAGTGATTTTGAAAGAATTCATGCACAATTATGTCTCACTCAGTAACATTAAAACAAAATAACATGGTGATAAGATGCCAGGAAACACACTGATAAAAACTATGCCTCTCAAATTAGTATCTGCAAAAGGTGCTTAAGCATCCTATTGAAACAGAGCCTGGTTTTACTTCAGTTCATGAAACATTTTCATTGGATGGACATAAACCTGACTTCACTGTTTCCCATGGTTCTTAAATTATGTTTCGTCACTGGCATCAGTGAGTTGTGAAAGATTCTATAAACTATGAGGGAAGACATCTTATGATTTATAATCCTGATCTCAGTTGCAAAACTGCTTGCTATCATTGTAACTTAAAATGATGCTTTACTAATACTGGTCTTACTCCTCTTTACAACACAAAATCATAAACTGATAATAACAAAATAAACTGAAACATCAAGGCATAATCAAAACATTGATGAGTTTAACAATTTCTGCAAATTTCTGCTAAATAAGGCACTTCAAAATAAATCTCTAAAATGTATAGTTTACATCAATTACCTGTAAAACTGACCCAATCAGTCTTTCTGGGTTCTGTCTGTTTGGGTTCAGAAGCATGAAGAGCTTCTAGACAAGAAATCCAGTTGATTTAGTCACATGCTGAGACAGTTACAAGGGCAAATCCCAGATGAGGAAAACTCTACAAGACAGGAAGCCTGAAAAATGATGCTGGATCCATTTCTGAGGAAAAGCATTTAGGAGCTGTGGAATCAATCAAGAGAAATCACACTAGGAGCTGAGGTAAATGTATGATGTTTTCCTTTGATTACAGGTTTTTACGTTATGAAAACTAAAAAAAAATTAAAAAGCCAAAAAACCTCCCAAACCACCCCCCCCCCCCCCCCCCATTATTGCGATTTATCACAAATTGCAAAAAGATTTCGAGATACTAGGTTAAACAATGTCCTTTCAGAGCTCCCAGAAATAAAAGAGATTACAATTCCTCCTTAAACAGAAATACACAGTCCTGGGAAAAGTCAGCTAGGTGACTGGTTTGTGATCTTTAGCTGAACATGCAGAAATGTTAACACTGCCCTTTCTACTTCTGCAGACCTTCAAATACAAGAGCTTTGCCCCTTTTGACCCAAAAGAAGGAAGTGGTATGCAGAGTGCCAGAAGCTCAGTAAGGGACTTTGTTGAGACCTAGTCAATTAAAGGCTTTAAATGTCAAAAACAATATTTTTAAGCCAAGCTACAAAACCAGTCAGTGAAAAGACTGGGCAAAATTACTAATGTCCAGTTGTGCAGGGCAAATAAGCTAAGGTTCTTTAAAGGAACCTTTCATTCTACCTTTTTGATGTTAAAAAAAAAAAAAAAAAGACCCTTTCTGCTGAGAACAGGAAAGTCACTGTGCATAGGCACACTTCATTTTAGAGGATAAGTGGGATTTTTAAAAGGTTTTTAAAAGGTTAATGTTGCTGAAAAACAAGCAGGGTATTTTCAGCAACATTTTCCAAGGGAGAATCTCATCTGAAAATGCTTTCATAATGACTATGTCTGCTAAAGGAACTCACAAGGACTTTTCAAGTGCTTTAAACTTTCTGCTACTGTCTTTCAAGCCTTCCTTTTCTCTGTGAGTTCTTTCTGGCTAAGTCTCAATCCCACTAAGTCAGTGGCAAAACTTATCAGTATTTCACCCGGCAAAGTTTGTAGAAAGCTTTTACAAATGGAGAAAATGGATGCTGATGCTCAAAGAAAATGTGCAAACTTCTACACACCCTATGAGAAACAGAATCAAGTAATTAATATTTTCCATACTTTGGCACATTTTGAAAGAGTAATTTTTCTTGACTTATTCTTCAACACTCTTGCAAACTTCCAGCCGTGGTATGATTTCCTTGCTTTGACAGTGAGCAACAGAAATGACATGCATAACATTCAGATCAGGACACCAAGTGACACTGCAAGTACTCTTACAGCTTTGACCTTCAACTCCTCTTCCACACTGACTCACACATTACATTACCCATCAGGCAGCAAAAAGCACTTTGCTGACAAAAGCTGCTTTTCACTTACGCTCAAAGTGGTGAAAATATCCTAGGTAAAAGGACTTTTTTTTTTTCCTTTCCTTTCCCTATGATGAATGCCAAAGAAAATTGAACAAAAAGGGGAACAATTTCTTTGGAAGTACCTAATTTTTGACACAGCTCTATTTTCTGCCTGATTTAATGGGAGGCAGGAAAGTGGCAAATTTAAGAGCAAACTTGAAAATAGTCATTACATCGGTTTGCTGACCAGTTAGTTCGGCGGTGAATGACCTAATTTGCTCCCTAAGACTCTCTCCTGTTTGATATCACAAGAAAAGCTCTGTGTGTTAAAATGTGCATCTCATTACATTATGCAGCACAGGCCTCCATAATGTGATGAGATATGACATGAAGTTAAATAAAAAAGTCTTTTGTGCTTCTGCAAAGACCGTATGTTGCAATATTTTAAAAGTCTGCAAACATAGGTGCCTCAGAAGTCACACTGCTGTCTTAGAAAGGTACTGACAGAAACTGTCCTCCTAATTCTGGCCTTAACCAACTCTACAGTTTAGTTTTTAAAACATTCCTTTCTTAGTTCCTGGGTCAGCTAAAAGGAAATTAAAATTCTTATTCAGAATTAACCATTTCTATGCCAACCAAGAAACATTCTGTATCCATTCATCCCGCAACAAATTTAGAGTGGGCAGAGACTAGCATATCTCAGATTAATAAGAGCTAAAGGCATGGCCTTCTCCATTTCACAGCCTCATTACTCAGGGCTGTTCTGACTGGATATTCTGGTCTAGACTGAAGATAACTCAATTGAAATCAGAGTTACTTAGCCTAGGCAAAGACTCATCCCGCATTTTCTGTTTTACTCAGGGGTTGAACTCCTATTGTTCAAGAGCTGATGGGGAATTTCCTAAAAAGTAGCAAGGAAAAATGTGACAAGAAATTCCATATTTCATCTTCTGGGAAATTTGTCTAGGTTATTCTGTAATTTCTTATTTGGTCCTCCAGCAGGGGAAAGAAGGAAGACTTCGCCTTCCAGCTGAGTGTACCGCTACTTGTACCTCCATTTTTCCAGAAGTTTTTCAGTGGAATAGCACATATTTGTTTAGTTGAATGAGGCTGGGTGGGCTTGGAGAGACAAAAGCTGAAGATCTCTGTGTGTCACGTGTGTGTTTTTGTTAGGCTGAGGGGTTGCAACCTTCCTTCTGTCCAGGCAGAAGGAAGGTTGCAAATATTTGACCAGCTGCCTCTCTGCACCTCACATCTGCAGGGTTTGGCTGAGCCCAGCCACCGCATGCACACCAGGAGATGTTTTCCTTGTGATGCCCCATCAGGAGAAAGCTGGGGCAGGGGTTCTGTGGGTCTTGCCTCTTCAGGTCACCCCACCTCTTTTCATCCTTTTCTATCCCACAGGAGTGGGGAAAACCTGCCATGGAAGGTTCCCTCCCAGTGGGGACCAGGGGGCAAAAGGTACTACCCCCAACTATTTTCTTCCATTCCAATTGATGTAAAAATCTGATGCATAAACAGAGCTGAATACTTATCAGGCTGTCAGTAGAGAGCCAGCTCCTGAAGCCTGGAGTGAGTCCTTCCTTAGTCAGGGAGCTTTAACTCAGGAAATATGAGTAAAGGCATTCAGTCTTTATATAAAAAACAGTAATGAGCAAAGGCTTCATTAGCAGGAGATGCACGTTTGATCTCCCTCTTAGCAGTGTCCTCTGCTGCTGCCCTACCACACTCTGCCATCCTGGTGTGTGGCCACAGGAAGCTGCAGGCAGAGACCAGCCTGGGGCAGACAGCATCCACAGCTCCTGCATGGAGCTAACCATCCACCCTTTGCTCCTGCCACCTGCACTGCTGCCCAGCAAATGGCCCCCACAGACAAGAGATGGCTGGAAGGACAATGTGAAGTTATGAGGACAAAGACAACTCCAGGTTATGAATGCCCTGAAACACCTTGAGCTCATTAGCAGTCAGATTGCACTGTGCTAGGACTTGGTGCTGGCTCAGGAGGCACTTCAGAGAGCTGGAGGTGGAAGTAGATCTGTAGCTCACGCTGTTATTTAGCACCAAAGCCCTCAACAGAGTAATGGGCCAGGAGGAAATATTTTGTAACACTGTGATAGATATGTACCATAAAACAAAGTGAGTTGCTAACCTGCCTTTGCCCTCT